GCTACAACGTGCTGTCGGGAACAGCGAGAGACATTAATCACAGAGCAGCAGTGTCACCAATGCTTCCCCTGCGAAATGTGGCTTCCGACGTAACGGTCCTTCTTGGAAAGCTAAAGTTTAGTTCAGTGCCATTAAATGAGATCGGTTCTTCTACACGGATAACACAGAAAGGCAAGGGCTGCCGGTCCTCCCCGGTGAGAGGCCATTAGTACGTGCTTCTGGCTGTACAAGTGCCGCACTACAACGTCGTGAGAAAGCGAGCAATAAGGACACCCTCACCTCAAACATCTATGAGCTGGTTTCGGTTTTTATTTTGTTTTGTTTTTTAAGTTTTTGCTAGAAGGTGTGTGTGCTTGCCAGAGAGAGACAATGAGAGGGAAAGTGAGAAAGCACCCCCTGGAGGGAACGATCACGCCGCAATCCCTTCTCCTCTCAGGATTTGGGGCCCACATGCACACATACGTGGTGTGATTTTTAAGCTTCCAGGTCCACTACCTGAACCATCGTCCGTCAGGTAGGAGTCCAGAGCCTTAACCACCATGCCATGCCGCCTGTTGCTGACCCCATTTCTGAGTTTTTAAGTCTCTCTCTCTAAGTAAACCAGGGCCAGCAGGTGGCCAAGTGGGTTAGACAGCCAGATCCCACATGGCCGACCACACTATTCAGTCCTGGACCCAGTGGCTTGGAAAGCATGCCGGGCTGTGTGCACACATGCCTGAAATCCCAAGGAGAGTGGGGGAAAGGGATCGCGGCGTGGTCATCCCACATGGGGATGCTTTCTCATTTTCTCGATTTTTCTCTCTCTCTCCAGCAAGCACATACACCGTCTAGCAAATTTTTAATTAAGTAAACTAGAGAAATGAAATTCAAGAGTACGTATGTGCCTGTATGTGTACATTGTACTTGTGCACACACTCACATTCTCACACACATCTTACACAATCGTGGAAGAGCTAACACAGACAATTGTCCATCTGAATTTTATTACAATGAAACCTGTGCTGACTTAAGCAAAGGCAGCAGTTGGCATTTCTCACCATCAACAGACTTGCTCATGCGTAAACCATAATAAGAATGATTACCTGACACCTCCAGGTAATCCTTGTCCTGACACGAGGTGTGGCATCCATGCATGTGTGCATGTCGGGAGCTGGAGGGCCCGCGACCCACCTGCCCCAGCAAAGCCTACAAAGCCGATGGCCCAGGCCTGCCTACGATGGACAGAGTGTGTAATACTGAGCTACCGTTTGGGCACGTCGGAGAGCAGGGGGATGGCAGGAGAGACAGAACAAGAAACTCCTTTACAAAGGCCGGTGTTTGAAGGGAGCACATGTGCAGAGACTTGGGGCCCCTGAGGGACTCTGAGTGCCTTCCCGGCATCGGGATGAGGGAAGCGCAGAGCCCACAGGCCAGTCCCGCATGCCCGGGCACAGACGTATGTGGTCTGTGGTGGTGAGGGGCGCACTGAGAGCGGTGGCCATCCTTCAGGTGCACGGGGATGAAGTGCTCCTGTGCTCGGGCTGTCCCAAGGACCTCCATGCCCGCGGTAACATCTCACGCCATGGCCCCCCCGGCAGCTGGTCCTAGGGCTAGCAACTGTTGGGCACCTACTATGTGACAAGCCCCGTTCTCAGGCCTTAGGCACACGGGATGCAGCCGTGAAATACCAGACTGCTGTCACCCCCTCCCAGAGCGGCCTCTTCGAGGTGTCGCGATCACCTCGTGGGCGGCTGTACCATGTGAAGCGCCACTCATCTGCACGAGGAGAGCACCACTACCAAAAGCTATTCCTACCACCGAAACGACTCAGCCGTGCACGGGAAATAATGCCAGGGCCAGGGATGGGGCGCTTAGTTCCACGTGGCAAAGCTGCGGAGAGCAGACAAGTGAGACCCTTAAGGAAGCTGCTTAAAATAAAGACAAGGTTGCAAGGGAGCCAGGTGCTACTTAATATCCACAACCGAATCGGAGGGCCCCACCCTACCTCACATAAACCTCGCCCAGTCCTTGGTGGAGACGTTTTCCCACCCTCCCACAGAGCAAGCCATCCGTCAATACTGACAGCCTCTGGAGCAACGGCATAAGTGACAGGGACGACTCTCTGTGTATCCCGGAAGCAGATGGTCTGCTTTCACTTATTTAATCCCACATGTAAATGGACTGCAGTTTGGGACGAGAATTTTCAAAAAGAGTGATAGCTTTACTTTTCCCCTCGGAACTGTGCCGTTTTGAAATGGCTAGACCGTGCCATAGATTATGTGTTGGTCTCCCTTCTGTCCGCAGGATGACAGGCGAGGGCCAGAGCGAGAATCGGGAAGCCTGCTCCTCACTCTGGTCCCCAGTGAACCTGCCACGTGAGCTCAGACAGGTCAGGAACTCTCACTTTTCCTGTCCACGACGTGAGGGAGCCGCACAGCCACCCCAGGGGCTGGCACAGACCTGGCGAGCAGCACAGGGAAAGACACGACCACAAAGGCCAGTTAGCCGCCAGCGAGGCACGATGGGGACGAGATGTGAGGGCTGGAGGGCGCAGGGACGGTGGCCCTGTCACAGGGACCACTGCCGAACGCTCCGCCCTTGCAATTCTATCTGTTCAGAAGCGCCCAGGTCTGCGTGGCAGCGTAGAGGTTTACGGGGGCTGACCAGGTGGCTGCCTGCAGGGAAGGGCGGGGACTGGGAGGAAACACCAGGGGACTTTCAGGGAGGGGGAAGGGTTCTATCTGGTTTCAGAAGCGCCCCGGTCTGCGGTCTGCGTGGCAGCGTAGAGGTTTACGGGGGCTGACCAGGTGGCTGCCTGCAGGGAAGGGCGGGGACTGGGAGGAAACACCAGGGGACTTTCAGGGAGGGGGAAGGGAATGTGCCTGCAGCTGTCAAACTCATCACATGCACTTTAGATTTATACACGGCACTGCATGTATGTTTTACCAAAAGCAGAAAAACTGAATTCGAATTAATGACATAACACGCTGGAGCATTTGGGGTAAAACATACTAAAAACTGCAGCTGACTTTGAAGTACATTGAAAAATAAGATGGATTAATGGACAGAGAGGCAACTACATATACATGTGATAAAGCAAATCGAGCCAAATGCGAATTACAGAACCTTGTTGGCAGGCCTGCAGCGTTTACCATAAAACTCTTCCAGCTCTTCTGTGTGTCTGTGTATTTCCATAATAGCCGTCATGAAGAGCAGGTTCCAGAGAGCCCAAAGGCTCAGGGGCAGCATAGGCTCAGGTAGCCTGAAGCCAGAGCGGAAGCCGGGCCTGTGAAGGGGCAGCGCCGCGCTAACTTCCTGTGGGCCTTCCAGGAAGGGGAGGGTCTGGACAAGGCGGCAGAGGGGGAGACTTACGAGGAGTGGAGAGCTGGACACCTAACTGGGAGCCACGCAGCTCACCTGGAATCTCACCGTGGTCCACACGCGTTACCTGTTCATCACCCTTCCACCAACCGGTGAGACAGGAACACCCTTCCTGCCCTCACTAAACGTGAGGAACCCAGTCCCTCTGGCCTGGGCACCTGCTACATGCCAGGCCCTGGAAAGAAAAGAGAAAACCCAGGCACCGCCTTTGAGAGACTCAGCCCCTGAGCACTCCTGGGACACACAGGGCTACCCCATGAGTCAGAGCACCTGAGACCAGGCAGGACCCAATAACGCAGTCTCGGGAGGGTTTCCCGGAAGGGTAACAGCTAAGCAGACCCACCAAGGATGGCCTGATTGCACGGATGAGCCAACGAGGGCCCAGCAATGAGCAAGCGGAGCTCTAGAGAGGAAGCCGTTGACCTGTGTCCCAGAGCAGGGAACCCGGGAGTCCCCGTGTGCCACAGCAGGGAACCCGGGAGTCCCCGTGTGCCAGAGCAGGGAACCCGGGAGTCCCCGTGTGCCAGAGCAGGGAACCCGGGAGTCCCCGTGTGCCAGAGCAGGGAACCCGGGAGTCCCCGTGTGCCACAGCAGGGAACCCGGGAGTCCCCGTGTGCCAGAGCAGGGAACCCGGGAGTCCCCGTGTGCCAGAGCAGGGAACCCGGGAGTCCCCGTGTGCCAGAGCAGGGAACCCGGGAGTCCCCGTGTGCCACAGCAGGAACCCGGGAGTCCCCGGTCCCAGAGCAGGGAACCCAGAAGTACCCAGTCCCTCCCCCTGCTCCCGTCACTGGGGACCCTGCTTCTCAGTCTTTGAGGAATTGAATTAAACACCTGAATTTCACCCCTTCCGCCCCCATTCCATTTTTGAGGACTAAATATGTAGGATTAGGATGAAGAGCCTGCATCAAAGCCCTTCATCTAGTACTCTGAGCTGAACCCGCTGTCGGGCGGGCTGACGCCTGGACCAGCAGGCTAACGCGTCAGGTAGTGTCGGGGAGGGTTTAGCTCCACTCCTGCAGTTCACCTCGCCTCTTCACAGCTCAGCGGCTGGAAACTGCTGCCCTTCTTTAGAATAAGCTTGATCGGTGACCGCGCAGCATTCATTACGAAATGCCCGTTGTGCAGTGCGGGTCCTCACCGGTCTCCCTGCTGAGAGTCCTTGAACGACAACTCTATTGTCCCAGGTGCCAGAGACCCCCAGCCCCAGTCCAGGGCTTCAGGTCCATGTTTTCACACCTCTCCTCTTAAACTTGGCACATCGGTCTTCAGGAACTAACCTCTAAGTGCTGGGCCCGCAGAGCCCTGGGTCAGTGCACGGTCGGGTGGAGCCCGGCCTCTGGGCTTCTGAGCCTACAAACGCCGCTCTCCAGTCCATGCCTCGTTCACTCATTCAAAAAATCACTTTTCTGAAGATCCGGCCAATGCTCAGCCCAGTACAGAGCACCAGGGGCGTAAAGCCGTGGGCGCGATTCCTCTACTGTCCTCGGTGTGTCCTTCGAACGTGAGCGGTATCCCACTGGCGTGGCGGCACTAAATTACAAGTGGGAGAAGCCGGGAGGTTCCTAACACTGCTGTTTACAGTGTCTCTGCGAGCACAGGGTGTGCACATTCCTGGGGCCGAGCCTGCTGGAGAGACCTACCTTTGGTGGTGAGAATCTTTGAGGTGACTTCCAGCTTCTCCAGGGGTTCCATCCCGATGTTCTCCAACGTGATCGCGAGGGGCTGAGTCTCCCCATTGTAGAGCTGGACAGACACGTTAGCAGACACTTCATCGCCGGAAGGAGGCTGCAGTGAGTGCGCAGATCTGAAACGACAGTAAGGGCGGCGATAAGGTGCAAGAGAAAGGAAGAGGCCAACACATTTCAGAATTACGCACACAGGGTCGCGGCTCGCCGCCCTTCTGCACCTCAGAAGTCAGGGCCAGGAAACTTCAGTTTTAGACACGGAGCTCTGTGCCCAGGTAGCAGGGACAGGAGGGGAACCCCACGCGCAGACACTCCTGGGACTCTGTCACGAACAGGCTCACGCTCACTTAGCCTTCATTTCTCAGTGTCCGTGAGACTCATAAGTACTGAATTACTAGATTACGGAGGGCAAAAACTTAACAATGGGCTAATTCAAATGAACCGTGAACATGTTGCTCCCTCAGAATACAAAACACGTCACCCTTGGGGAGGACGGTGACACTCCCGACGCCGACCTCGGCGAGAGCTTCCAGGCCAAGTCCAGGCCTGCGTGTGCTCGCACTCCGGGCTTGCTGAGGCCCGGGGCGGGTCACGGCATCCAGGCCCCGTCAGGCTCCTCTCCTCCCCACACCCATCTCTCTCATTCGTGGATGAAATAAACTTAAAAAAAAACAGAAAAAAATCAAGCACATAATTACCTTGGAAAAAGCTACAGATTTAAGTGGAAAACATAAATGAGTCACTTGGACTGCAAACTGGGGCCAAAGAGAAATGGAAAACGAATGCAGCAGCCTCTGTCCCACGGTAAACCCTGGATGTGGCGCGGTGCTGCTCGGCCATGTCTGTGGGCTCTGTGCTCACACCGGCAGCCCCCGTGGACGGTGCCCGGCACCCGGCCCTGCCTGGAGCTCCTGCACTGCCACCCTAGGTCTGCGTGCTCTCGCGTGACTTCTACCGCCTCTAACTGATCCGCCACACTCATTACCCAGGCCAACTCCCCAACCCACAGACGTGACAGTCGGGCAGGGAGGCCACTGGTGACCACAGGGAAAGGCTTTGGGCAGCATGGTGGGGACGAAGCTGGCTGACAGCAACAGCAGTGTCACGCTGGGAGAGGTTACAATGCACACACGACTCTGCACAAGTCGGCCCCAAAGAGGGGGGAGCTGGAAGAGGGGCCCCGAGGGCTCCCCAGCACTGCGCTCTCATCTTCCTCGCACCTGGAAGACTTCCACCAAAGACCACGGCTAACGTACGGCACGGGCCCCCACACTGTGACTGAACTGAGCCACAGGCAGGCTACGGACCTGAGCACAGGGCTCCAGGCCACGGCACCCAGCAGGCCCGCGGCCTCTCTGACGGGCAGCTCTCTGGGCCTCTCCCGGTCACACGCCGAGTCCTAGCTCTCATGCTGCACGAGAGCTTCATGTCCCCAAGCTGCTTGGCTCAAAGAACATAGGAGAACGGCCCAGGCAGCGACGGTCTCACGGCCTGCTGAGGGTGGAGACGATGCTAAAGACACGCCAGGCACTGCCGGCCAGCCGGGGGCTTCCTGGGGGCCTCGAGGTCCAGACTCTGCTAGGAAAAGCTCTACATGCAAACCAAATTTCCAGAAGACAGCAGGATAGTGAGTCGAGGTGGGTCCCTTGGCACGAAACATCTTTAATGTCGTGAGTCGGGAAACGCCTGACCGGGGCAGGAGCACCGACTCACGCCCCACCGCGAATGCATCCTCCCATCTGGTGTGCGGTCCTCCTCAGGCAAGGCTGTGGTCCGCGGAGAACGTGGCCAAAACAGGGTGCCAAGGCCCTCCGCTAGCAGCAGAGGAGGAAGGAAGAGAAGCGACCAGCACAGGCCTGGCCCGGCATAAGCGGCCGACTGTCCCAGGGCAGAGTACCCCCACGTCAGGAGCAGCAGAGCTGGGTGAGGCTCCCGCTGTCACCGCAGGGGGCTGAGCCCTGAGCACACATCGCTCTGAGAAGCCGGCAGCACGGCCTCCTGCCAGGCTGAGGTCAGGGCCCAGGGAATGGCTACAGAGGCCGGGAAAGAGCCCAAGTCCAGTTTCCTGGGGGAGAGGAGGGGAGAGCTCTGCAGAGGCTCCATTGCAGGGACTTGGTTTACCCAGCCAGCCCTGCAAGGAGGCCTGAGGTCTACACCAACCTGGCCCTCTGTCTGTTCAAGGACATGGCCCTGATAAGTCGACTGCACTGAGGAAGTTGCCCCAGGACCAAGCAGCGTTGGAGTCACGGGAGGGGCCATCGGGCCCTGAAGCTAAGCACAGCCTGGGGGAGCTAAGGCCACCTGGAGCCCCACTGCGAGCCCCTGTACTCCTTCAGACTTGACGGCAAGTTAGACCATCCTTCCACACCTCCCTCCAAAACCATGTTCCCTCTGCCCATACCTCGTGGGCCCTCGTCACCTACTTGTGCTGCAGCAGCAGAAGCAGCTGCAGTCACCAAAGGGCCCCGAGTGTCCCCTGAACACTCGGTGGGGGAGCTGCCCCCTCTGTGTACCAAAGCCCCCGCCCCTGCTCTGCTCTAGACCAACAGCTGTCTCCAGGTAGAGATGACGTTTTGTCTCTGCACTCTCAGCTCCTACCAGATTCCTGGCACAGGACAGGTACCCTGCAGCAAGGTGACCACATCTCCGTTCCGGCTGCCTGTGCAGCACAGAGCTAGGCGGCCTGGGACAGGACCACGGTGGACTTGGCTGTCGCCTGAGCATCTCGCCCTGGCATGTCTGGACATCAGCTGCCTGGCCACAGAGAAGGCTGAGGGCACACAGGAGTCCCCACCGCAGCACTCAGGACCCCGCCTCCAGCCCCGCCCCGACGACCCAGGCTCCATCTAGGCCCATGGGACGTCCTGCCGGGACGGCCCTGCTCAGGGCTACCCTCCATGTGGACCGACTGCCCTGCGTGTCTCCTCGGCAGGGAGCCCTTTCCTGAGACTCCCTGCAGAGCAGGGATCGCCAGCTCCCGGTCACAGCTGGCTCGTCTCCGGATGGCGCACCTTGCCCTGTTTTGTTCGCTGCATCCTTTGTTCGCTTTGGGCCCTGCATCCCACGGAATGACCGCAGCAGAGCTGGGCTGGGCCTACCCACCCGGCCCCACACTGCCTGTGACCCAGCCATGCGAGGGTCTTCTCAGTGGGCTGGGACAGACACCAGAGTGTAGAGCGACACTCGTGAGAACATGTTCAAGATTATGGGGGGAGGGGTCACCTTCAATGACTACCCCAAAGGCAGGGTAAAACAGGGAGGCGGAGAGAAACACAGCAGGCTGTCGTGACGGGCTCGCGAGCAGGAAGACCGACACAGCCTGCCCTTCACGGTACAGGTCCTTCTCCGGACCGTTTCTCCACCTTCGGCCGGCCACACCCTTTCACTGCATCGCCGACGCCGACGGCAGGCGTGCGAAGCCGGAGCAGGCAGGCCAGATTCCTCGTGGCTCACCGGCCGCTGTGGTCTGGGTGTGGGTGCTCTGCAGCAGCCCGTGAGCTCTGAACACCGTTACAAGTGGTCTGTCCACCCCTATGGTGAGCGAGCTACTCAGACCTGCTGACTTTCCAATCAGGCCGTCTGTCCTACCGCGGAGTCTATGAGTTCTGCGTACGGGTACAAGCTCTTTGTCAGGCAGGTGGCGGCGAGCACTTCCATTCTGTGACTTGTCTTTCACTTTCTTAATCGTGTCTCAGGAAACACAAACGCTTTCAATCCTGCTTTTTGGCATCACAGCAAAGGATTCTTTGCCTAACATGAGGTCACAAAAATCTTCTCATTTTCTGCTCAGAGTGTGAGACTTTCAGTCTCTGATCCCTTCTGGGGTCGTTTTTTACTGCACTTCATTTTCTTCCCCAGGTTGCATGATTCCGGACCCCTTGGCAGAAAACTGCTCCCCTACCCTCCTCCTCACGTCACTCTGGAAGTCACCCCTGGAAGAACCTTCCCCTGATGGAGCCCCCAGGACCGACAGTGACTTCCTGCCGCCCGCCGGACCCACTGCCACCATGGCGACAATGACAGCCACGTGCTGTGCTTGTCCAGCTGGCGCCAACGTCTCCCTCAGGCAGAGACCAGGGCTGCGCGGCCCCGCTGTCCAGGCCCCGACACCACGCACAGGGCCTGGCAGATGAACGGGCCCGTTACACACATGAACAGACTGCCACACTGCAGAACATCCCAGGGTAAATTAAAAAAAAAAAAAAAAGACATCCAGCAAGTCTTTTACTTTTCTTTTCTTTTCTATAAGACTTGTACGCTTCACCAGAGAGAAAAGTGAGAAATCGCCCCCAAGGGGAGATCCATGCGGCAATTCTTCTCCAGGCTCCTCTCAGAATTTTGGGTGCTTATGCATGCACGCACACCTGACATGATTTGCAAGCCACCGGGTTCAAGACTTGAACTGGAGACTCAGCTATGTGAGACCCAGTGCCCCAACCACGTCACTCACCAGTCCCTGAAGTACTATTCTTAATAGTAGAAATTAAGAATATCCCAAATTCCAATAGCAAGGAAATGAATATTTATGCAATTTTGAGATATCTTGAAATTAAAGTGGAATTTGTAAGAATTTGTGGAAGTATAAAGAAAAGCTTATGTGGTCACACGAAAAGTAACATGTGACACTCCATTTCATGAAACAGTCTCCGCTGAATAAAAAGGCGGTCCGACTCCGGAAGCTGGACCACGAAGCGCAGCAGGAACCGCTCCCGGATGGCTGGTGTGGAAGCAGTTTCCCGTGCTTTCCTACGACGCTGATCACACAAACCAACAGAAAGGGGACAAGACTATTTTCAAAAAGAGTTTTTCCTAACTTCCCTATTTTTTTTTTAAATTACAAATCTGAACAGTCATTTCACATTTTGTTCTGATCCTGGGAAGAAAGACATCAACAGTCCCACCACACGAAGTAAAGCGTAGGACTGTAGGTTATCGTAGAGGTCCCCCACCCACGCTCTGCTCCTGGGAACTGACTCGGACTCCCCGTGCTGTACAGACAGCCCTGGGAGGGGTCCCAGAGCCATTCCTCACCAGCATTAGCCCCCGCCCTCCTGCGTGAGTACCTGGGCAGGGAAGTGCCGATCTGCAGCCGGGGCAAGGCGGGGATGACTTCCACCGTGGAGCCACTGGTCTTCACCCCTGGGAGGTCGTCCAGCAGACAGTCGCTGAAGACGCCAAAGACTGTGGTATGGTAACCTGGAACATGAAACACAAGTCCCCCACCTGGCAAGGCTCTTTGCCTTGAGCCCCATCCCAAAGTGGTGACTAGAGCACAGGGGTGACTTTGGGAACACCTGGCAAGAGGGCAGGGCTGGTCAGAATAAAGCCGGGAATGGTCTCAGGAACACCTGGGGAGAGCATGGGGCTGGTCTCTGAACACCCAAGTCTGAAGCGGGCCAGTCACCTGCTGGTCCTCACGCACGGCTTCCCTCCTCAACCCCAGAGACTCTCACCCGCCCAGGCACGAGACAAGAAGGCACCTGTGCTATTTCAGGAAGCTGGCCGTGTTCTGACAGCGCAAACAGGAAAGCCCCTGTGAACTACAAATCTCTACACAGCAGTATCAGTATCTCATCTCGTCACTAATCTGCTTTCAGATCTATCCACCTCTAAAATGAGGATGATAGTTAATATTCCTTTCCAGGACATAATGCGATTTAATGAGTATTTGAAAAATGCTTCAAAACCTTCTGTTGCGAGATGAAAGTCCAAGAGCCAATTACTGTTATTGCAGCTGCTCCGAGAGGCGGCAGATCTGCTGTGTGCGTGCGACACTACAATGTAAGATAAGCAAATTTCCCATGCCAGAAAGGCACAAAAAATACCCACTGGTTAGATAAGCATTTCAAATTGTTTAAGCAAAGCTTTAAAATGGCTTTTGAAATTTTGAGAGATAATTATTATAAACAACATTCACTGTGTAACAAAATTAAACAATACCCCATGGCTAGATGCCTAGGGTAACAACTGCTCAGCATTCACACTGAACTGTTACAAACAGCTGAGCTGGTCCCTCCCGGCAAAGTGCCCTAAAAGAGTCTCGTGGACCCTCCCCTTCACCTTCTGCCAGCTTTTTTTCCCTTTTTTTTTTTTTAAGAGGTTTTTGCCATAGGGCACATGCACTTGCCAGAGAGAGAGAGAGACAGTGAGGGAAAGTGAGAAATCACGCCCCAGAGGGTGGATACACCGCAATCCACAATCTTTCTCCTCCATTCTCCTCCTGGGATCTTGGGTGCGCACACACACATCCTATAAGATTTTCAAGCCACCAGGTCCAGGTCTCGAACCGCGGTTGGCCAGATGGGAGTCCAGCAATGCAACTACTATGCCATCTCTCTCCACTCAGCAGAAGCAATTTCTGAAGAGGCAGAAGCACCACAGTTTAACTGGCATGTTCCTCCCCAGGAACTCACATCTGGCACCAATGCCCCCACACTCTCCTTCCTTGGTAAAATCTGGTGAGATGTGCTCCTTGCCTGCCGAACAACCAGCATTGTGCAATTCTTCACTAAAATCACTATTTTCCTTTTCTTAGCCAATGCTTAAAAGAACTGCCGTATAAACCCGAGGCCTGAAGACAAATGCCCAGTGCTGGTGCGTGGCCATGCCTGATAGCATGAGGTCAGCCCTTCGGATGGCAGACACAGGCCACCAGAAATGGCCACTGTCCAGGCTGCACTGAGGTGGACTAGGAAATGTGCTCTGGATGCTCACCATAACATAGCAGCTTCAGGGGCCAGCAGGTGGGGCGGACTCCCACATGGGCGACTGCGGTTCGAGTCCCAGACCTGGAAGCTTGCTTTCTCACTTTCCCTCTCTCTCACTCTGTCCCTCTCTGGTCAAATTAAAATAAATAAGTAAATAAAGTTAAGTAAAGTAATTCTTCAAAAAATAAAATAAAATAGCAGCTGCAGGTTCCATGGGGGTCTCCTTGAAGCCCCCCACATCCCAATTATAGAGCAGAGAGGACTGCCTCTCCCGGTCCATTCCCAGCCACTGTTACGGTCCTGCCTGGCCACTCTGCACCTGCACTGCTGCTGAAGCCTGTTCACTGGCCTCCCTGCCTCCACTCCCTCTGTCGCCACCTGACTGCACACAGCAGCTTGAGGGATGGCTCTGAGCTGCCCACCTGACCACACTCGCCCTGTTCAATAAGGCAGTACCCCTTTCTTTTCCTTGTGAGAGATGTTTGCTGTATTACATGTGTGTTAGCTGGAAAGACAGAAAGCAAGAAATCACTCCCCAGCGGGATGGCTGTGCCACGACCCCGTCTCCTCCATCCTCCTCTCAGGACTTTGAGCACACGTGCACACGTGCCCAGCGTGAGTTTTCAGCTGCTGGTCTGGGACTTGAGCCTCACCTGGCCATGTGGGAGGACAGCGATGTAACATGCCATCTGCTGGTCCCAGACCCCCTCTTCCATCCTGTTAACTGTCCCCCGTCTACCCTGATTCATTTGGGTAATTTGAGCTGGCCTTCAAACCTCGAGGTCACTTAAAGAAGGCTCTGGCCCCTCTCCTGCCTGGCACACCCCTCCCCGATGGACTCTCCCTACCCCCACCCCCATCCCCTGCACTTGCTCCAGCTTGGCACTCGCTGCAACACACCCTAACCTAGGGTGGCACCCGCCTCCCTGCCCCATCAGGACACCCTCTCCCACTGAAGGTTTCTTCCTCCAGCCAATAAATGCCCACTGAAGACCTACTACGTGTAAGGCTCCACACTGAGCGCCAAGGACCCAGCGAGCGAGAGAGACAGGCACCTAAGGGAGAGCCACCAAGGCAGCAACCACCAAGGTGCTGTGAAGGAGGGAAGCATGAGGGTGAGCAGCAGGAAGGGAATGCAGCTGAGAGCCACGAGGACCCCTCAGAGGCGCTGGGCAATAGAGGGAGGGGCCAAGGAGAGCTGGGAGAAAAGCAGACAGTGGGCCCCCAGTTGGTGGGGCAGTAATCTCAGTCATAGGCGTTGGGGTGACATGAAGGTACTAAGTCCAGGATACAGAGGGCTCAAGAACCTCTGCAGAGGTGGGGGACATGCACTCTGCACATGTAGACACCTCCCGGAAGAGGTCTGGCTGCAGCTGGAGGAAGCGAGTCGGAAGAAGGTCCCTACAGCTGCAGAGCCCGAGCACGTGAGGGCCCACTGGAGGGCTCGGTGGGAGGACGATGGCACAGATTGTGGAGAGGAGGGCCCTGCCTGGGCACATGCCAACACAGGCTTCTCCATGTCACATCCCCAAGAAGCACAACCTATTCATTATCTTGTAGTTGGCCAGGGTGGGATGATGGGTGGTCACTCCAGGCCTCTCAAGGAGGCAACACACACGCGGGGCACGGCGGTCTTGGAGCAGACGCCATCGAGGTTCTCCTACCGTTCACGGTGATCGTCCCAGTAGTCTGCGGGACCCCAACGAGTGTCACAGGGTACAGCCCCGATTCGGCCGGCAGGGACAGTGCTGCAGGGAGAGACTCGAACTCCACTCCGCTGGTGAGAAGCCCCTGAAGGGAAGGAGGGAGCTGTTGAGTAAGCCCGCCCTGCCGGCTTGTGCCCCGGCCCCGGCCTGAGCACATTCTCTCTGGACTGCCGGGGCGGTCCCAGGGAATGGGAGAAGGGCCACAGGGTGCTGAGCACAAGCCCCCTGGGGCGAAAGCACTGTGGGTGCAGGCGGTATCGGCCCCACGTGGACTCCAGCCCTGTTGTCCATTTCTTTTTTTTTTTAATTTATTTATTTTTTTAATCATCATAATCTTGTTTATATTACATTGGATTGCATATAACTTTACAGTGTATTACATTGCTTTTTCAAAAGGGAATACCATGCATGTCAGTCAATACAGAGACATTAATCTCCCTGCTTCATCATTCAATATCTTTTCATTGTTTTTCCCAATCATTATTATTAATCCAATTATTTTTTGAAACAATCACTGTTTCTCATTTTGCGTGTAAAAAGACTTTACCCATCATGAAACACTTCTCAGACCAATGCAGTGAAGGTGTGGTCCGTTTCTAACACGTGCTTTAGTGGATGGGGACAGGGACCCGGAGGAGGACTGCGATCCTGGCCTTACTGGGTCAGTTGCTGACACAGAACACAGGCATCACTCTGCCACGCTGGGTCCACGTGGAGGAGCGGGGACTCGGGCCTCAGCCTCCAGTGCACTCCAGGCGTGTGAGTGTGTCCCGGCTCTAGGGCACTGCAGGGAGGCTGTGGTGGGAGACCCAGCTAAGGGTGCACCTTCCTCTCTGACTCACTCTCATCAACTTTTTAAAAATACATTTTCTCTTTGGGCGAAAAAGAAAGCAACAGGAATGTGGAAGTCTAACGCTGGCGAATCCCTCGGTGCCTCTGAATTACCACTTGGTTCCAATATGCGGGAGGCGCTCAGCTCGCTAGTAAAGAACACAGACAGATCCCTGCCGCGCCGAGCCGGGGTGGGGGCAGCACAGACGTGGCCGCTCCCAGGACCTGCCCGCACAGGGACAGAGTCCTACTGAGTGCAACCCAGCAGCGCCAGGGAAGGCACTGGTTCTTCACGAGGAACAGCACGTGACCCAGAAGCCCCTCCGGAACCCACAGGGAAACTTGTGCTAGCAAACGCATTTAGCAAAGCGGCAAAGTTGTGGAGAGGGAGGGAGCAAATATATCTCTGTGGCCTGCTGGGTGCTGGAGAAGTCACGAGGCATTGTTCTGTGCTTCTCTGTGCAAAGTGCATCATGACTTAACCCAACAGCAATCAACGCCTGGAAGACGAGATGAGAACAACTTAAGTAGAGATCAAAAAGATCAGCTCCTTGGACTCAAGCGGCGATGTGCAAGATTTCATTTCACATACAGGACACTGTCGGGATAAATTAGAGAGCTCACTGAGGGGAGACGTCCTGGGTTCCTACTGGGTCTGTCCCCTGCAGCGGTGTGCTCCAAGCAACCCTGGAATCATTTTAGAGTTCTCACAACTGAACAGGGGTACATGTGTTCGTGCTGCTATGTGCCCGAATTCCACACTGAAGGAAGCCCACAGATACGGCATGGAGGAAGGCAGGAAAGGACCCCGTGGAGCGGGCTGGAAATGGAGGTGTTAACGTGGAGTAGGATGTGGAAAACAAGCGAGACACTGGCCCGATGAGCACCACCTGCAGGAGAGCTTGGAGCGGAGGTGTGAAAGGTCTGTGGGCAAACAGGGACCGTGGGCGAGGGCGGGAGCAGGAGGGTGGGCAGACGGCTACTCTCCCAGCAAGCCAACGGCATCTACCTTTTCCAAATACCTAGGCAGTGAGGCTAACCTTAGCGTCATTAGGAACGGGTGGTGGGCACGCGAGTGTTCATGTTCCACCAGCGTTCCAGATGTCTGAAAGACTTCATAAGTTAGTGGGTTTTGTGATTTTCTTAGTCTTCTTTTTCTCTTTTTAAGTTTTTGCCATAGGGCACATGTGATTGCCAGAGAATGAGCGAGAGGGAGACAGTGGCTGGGGCCAGGCCTTCGTATCTCCCCCCCGGCAGCCTCAGTTGTCTGCAGAGCACAGCTCCTGCCGGGCCCCCTCGCCTGCCCCGTGCTTCTGTTCCTAGAGCTCCTCCGTGTTGCCTTATGGTCCCGCTCTGAGGCTGCTCAGTGGCGTGCAAAGGTGGGTGTGGGGGTGACTTTCCCAGAGCTTCAGGCCTGGTGTTCAGAGATACAGAGAGGGAAAGTGAGAAATTGCCCCCTAGGGGGTTGGCCATGCTGCAAACCCTTCTCCATTTTCCTCTAAGGATTTCTGGCATGCACACACACAAGCGTGACGCGGGTTTCTAGCCACTGGGTCTGGGACGCAAGCTGTAGTCGGCCTAGCACCCCAACCACCACACCACCTGTTGGCTCCATAACTTAATATTTTTTATTTGACCAAAATGTATAGGCTTTCTCCAGGGCTGCTTTTTACTTTACTTTTTAATCTTATCAAATTATTTATAAGCACATATTACTTTTAAACTAAAGAAATGAAAGCTATTACTTGAGACAGAAAATAAACTGTAAGGAAGACAGCAGGCATGTGATATCCTAACCGCTCTGGGGAATGGTTTGCTCGCCCAAAACACAGAAGACTGAGGTCAAAAGACAGGAAGCTCCAGGAAGCCAAGTGACCCAGAGCCAAACCCCAGGCCAGAATGGCCTTTGCAAAGGAGGTGGGGAGGTCCCGAGCGAGCCTTGGGGCTGCAGGCTGGACACTCAGCACCTGCTGAGCTCCCGAGAGCTGTGCAGACTGAAGCTCCAGGCCTCGTCCCAGAAGCACCTGAGCGGCCACCAACAGCCCGCCTGGCCGACTGCAGCTTTGGCCCTGAAGTTCCAACGAGCCACTGGGTCTCCCAGGAAGCCATCTCTGACTCATCACGGCCCAGCAGATGCCCTCCAGGTCGGTCCTGTGCACCTGCGCCTCACATGCCCCACACAACAGGACCAGGTCCTGCCTGTCTCTGGGCTCCCAGGGCCTCCCCACGCCTGACACATGTCATGGACATTCAGCAAGAGGCCTGTAGGAGGCACCTCTGAGCCTGAACACCAGGCCTGAAGCTCTCAAGGGAAAGCCACCGCCACACCAACCTTTGCACGCCACTGAGCAGGCAACACCAGGCGCTCTAGGGACAGAAGCACGGGGCAGGCGAGGTGGGGGCACAGCAGGAGCTGTGCTCTGCAAACAACGGAGGCAGCCAGGAGAGCGGTACGAAGCCCCGGCCCTGCCCACTGGCAGGTGAGCAGTTCCAGTGGGCCGACTACAGAGTGAACCTTTACACTCACATGGCGCAGTCAGGACGGGGACCTCGAGCCGATAGCAACCCCAGGTGTGGCGTGGTCACGTGCTCTTCCCAGCCTGCACTTCTCTGGGACCTGGGTCTTCTCGCCTCCTGCCGCAGCCATGCTGGCACTTCTGGGCAGTGGACCAGACACAGCCTTCATGACCACTGTTAACTTCATGTAAACCAAAGGGCTACTTCGAATCTCATAACCAACTAAGCCCGGGGGGAGGGGGTTCCTGAGTACTTGGTTCAAACACTCATGAAATACCAAGCCTCAGGACACAAGTACAGCCAAGCATGGTCTCCACTCACAATAAGCTGATAAACACTGGCAAAACGAACCTAAAATGGGCCACCACAGGATGAGTGCCTCAGGTATTTAGGAAGAAACCTGTTAGCGAAAAGCTGGTGTTTCGGCCCCAAAAGGTCAAATGGCTGGCGATACCTACCATGTTTTCGACGCGCAGCTCGAACGGCATGGGGTTATACACCATCAGCTGGACTTCGCACACGTCCCCTTGAACCCACTGGAAATCTGCAAGCACACAGAGAGCGGTGTCAGCGGGCTCTCTGCACCGCTCACTGCCTCCACGGTCGCTTCTTCTCCCAGCGAGGGAGCGTCACTGAAGCCATCTTAGGGGAAATGACTTAAAGGTGGTCTTCCCACCAGCTTTTTCCGCAGCAAAGCAAACCAGGGCGTCGCTGCCCAGACGCTCTGTGAGGGGCGACCTTGCATGCTCGGCACTTCCAGGACGCTGCACAGCTGTCTTCACCGTGCTGTGGGCTGTGCAGCGAGTGACCCAGCTCTCCTCGGTCTGCAGAACGTCATTCCTGTTCCACCACCAAGGAAAGCCCACCCGGCAGGCTGAGCAGGAGGGAGCCGAGGTTCAAACTCAGGTCCCTCTGGCTCCAAAACCCATGCTCTTCACCTACTGCTCTCCACTAGGGCTCTGGGAACACAGGTCTCACCCCTTCTTCAGCTCCACTCTCCTCAAAGCCCCCCAGGCCCATCAGCCCTGGAGAACCTGCAGGGGGAGGCTCACCCATCTTCCTGTTCACAGTCAGTGGCCTCCTCCTGACATTCTCACCACCACCCCCGCCCTCAGGCAGCACCCCTCACCCGGCAGTGCCTACAGGCGGCTGGCATCCTGGCCCGCTCCACCCCACAGACGGAAGGAACCTCATTTTTCTAAATGAGTGGTTATGCCTGGTAACGAAAGAACTCTTTTCTCTGACAGGGTCAAAAAGTAACTAAAAATTTCTAAAAATCATTTTCAGGCAAGCCCTACAGCCTGGTGGTTAGGGAAAGTCAGATTCCACATGGCTGACCACAGTTCAAGTCCTAGCCCCGGCAGCTTGAAAATCACACTGGGCATGTGTGCATGCGTGCCCCGGATCCTGCCAGGGTGGAAATGAAGAAGGGACTGTGGCATGACCACACCCCGTGGAGTACTTCCTTGCTCTCTGACTCTCTGTCTCTCTCTGGTTATCACTACCTGCCTTCCAGCAATGTTTTTAAATATCATTTTCTAGGGTCAGTAGGTGGCACAGTGGTTAAGGCGCTGGACTCCCACATAGTCTACTACAGTTCAAGTCCCTGGCCCAGCAGCTTGAAACTCACGCCAGGTCCTAGACCCGGTGACTTGAAACTCACATGTGTACATGTGTACCCAAAATCCTGAGAGGGAAGTGGAGAAGAAGGGATTGCCATGTGGTCATCTTCCTCCCAACACCAGGGAGTGCTTTCTCGTTTTCTGTCTCTCTGTCTCTGACTCTCCAGGGAGTACATGCATCCCATAGCAAAACTCTCTCTAAAAAATAATTCTCTGGGGTACTGAGAGGAAAATAACTTATACTTACACGGCCCTTTTCTACTAAGAGAAATCTGAGATAAGTTACTGATTGAAAGAAGCTTTTTACCTGGCAGGAGAATTCCACCTCCAGAAGTCCACATGCCCGAGCACGCCCACGTTCCGTCCCAGAAACAGTGGCCCTCTGTTCCAGGCCCTCCTGGAGCTGTGCGTGCCATGATCCCTGGACTCACAGCCTCACAGTGGCTGTGATGGACAAATGTGTCTCCTTGCACTATGCAGTGTGGCCCACCCAGCAGGAAGTGCTGCTGGCTGATCGCTGCACCCCTGTGCCTGGCGCAGGGTACACAAGCCCTACGAAGAGTGTCACCTGACTGGCCGCCAGGTCCTATAGGAGTGACATGCACTTGATGCTCGGAGCACCCTTCGCGTCCACTCCCAACGTCCCATTGAGCAGACGCACAACTGCAGGGCAGGGGGACGTGTCATTTGTCCCCAGACACACGGTGGGAAGCAAGAGCAGCCAGCCAGGCTCCAGCCCACATCCCCTGACAGCCACCACCTTGCCAGGTCAGCAACTGCCTCTGTTCCATCTCCACGCCGGCTCGGCAGTGCCACGAAGCCCTCACGGTGACGAGAACTCCCGCAGGCCGGCTCAGGCCTGGGTTGCAGTCACCTGCACAGAGTGTGCTTGGTCCAGGCTGTGCTAGCTGATGCACAGACGCAGACGGTAAGTTACTCCCGGTCGGGGGGAAATGGCTCCCACACCGTTCCTGGGTTCCTTCTCTACTACTCCACGCCCCCTGCCAAGTTAACTCCCCCGTTGTACACCAACATTCATTTACAGAGATGAACAATTTAGGCTAGAGATCCGTGACTCCTGAAGCCTCTGGGTAGGCACTTACTAATCAGCACCCTGCTGAAAGGACACCAGAAGCCTAGGGTGTAAATTACATTTCCCTTCCCCTGGGCATTCCACAGATCTGCATTTAGGCTGGACCTTCTGTAACATCTCAGAAGAAAATCTCACATCATCACTGAACTGACCTTTGCCCGCTAGAACATGCCTCCCCCAAAGTCACATGTTACAACAGCACCACGAGTGTGGGAACGTGATCTGGCTATGGTGGTAGAGGCGGGACTGGGGCCAAACAGTAGCACAGCAACCCTGCAGGGGAAGGTCCCCAGTTTGAGCCCAGAGACTTCCCTGAGCACACCCAGGATGCAGGGCTGGCTGAAGCTGGCGGACTGGCTTCAAGATCTGCTAGGGCTCCCCCTCTCTCTCGCCTTGTGGATATGTCTCTCTCTGTTGCTCATGGAAGAAATAAATAAACTTAGAAAACAAGAGGTGGAGTATTGGAGGTAACTAGGATGGGATACGGGCATCAGGTGGGGCCGCCATAACTGAATCCTGGTGGTTTTGTAAGGAGAGAGACCAGGGCTGATGTGCGCTCCCGCGTTCTCGGCACGCGGCGCTCCGCGCTGCCGTAGGACTCTGCGGAGCTCCCCCGTGAGAAGGCCCTGCCCACAGGCAGCCCTTCCACGTGGACCTCCAGAACAGCAAGCTAAGTAAACCTTTGTCCTTCATAAACTGCCCAGTCTCTGGAATTCAGGCACAGCATCAGAGAAGCAGCCCAGAAGAGCAGGGCCATTTTCCTCCCTACTATGCTGAAAGTCATGTTTGAAGGGAAAACAAATCTCTGGGCATTGGGCCATAAAACCTGAGATGGAGAGTGGGCCCTGCCATACACCAGCCCTCCGGCCTAGGGCAGGTGACTTCTGCTCCCTCCAGCTCCACTTTCGCGTCTTTAAACAGGGAATGCAATGGCGTCTGCAGCCTCGGCACTGAAGAGTTATGAGCATCACTGGTTGCTGACGCTCTCATCAACAAACAGAATATTTTCATTTAAAAAAGCCTCAGCTACTTCTAAAGATTAAAGAGAAAAAAAGAGGCAAGCCGCTTCCTAGCCATGAGAGTCTAGCAGTCAGCAGGCCAGAGTCCAGGCCTGGCTTAATGCTCTGCTGTGGCTGGCTTCAAATTGCTCTTGAGTTTTGAACAAAGGACCCCATGTTTTCATCTTGCACTGGGCCCCACAGATCACACGGCCAGTCCTGAGATGAGAAGCCTCACACCACCAGCCTCCTACTTCACTTCTAGAGGTTTTTCTCTAAACAAAATGAATGAGATCTTCCTTAAAAACTGTTGGGACGAACTGGAAGAGACCTCATTGCCAACCTAGTGAGACTCAAAAAGAGCAGCCAGAAACTCCCAGAAGGTCCGAGAGAGAGAAACTGCATCGCCCCTCCAGAACCAGTGCAGACCCAGTCAAGAAAGGGGTGCTCAGGAGCTTGCCCCTCCATGTCGACCGAGTGAGACACCCCTGGAGCAAGCCCCAACTCTAGTTTCTAAATGTTCTGTTAATTTACAAACTTTTGACAAAGCTTATTATGAGACCCTTATAGGGGCTAACAAATTCTAGAGCTAATACTATATAAGAAATGCTTAAAAGAAAGAAAGAAAGAAAGAAAGAAAGAAAGAAAGAAAGAAAGAAAGAAAGAAAGAAAGAAAGAAAGAAAAACTCAAAAGGAAGAAAGAAAGAAAGAAAGAAAGAAAAGCTCAAAAGGAAGATGTACTTCCCAGACACAGGAATGTGGAGTTCTCGGTGAAATGATGTATAGGTAACATCGTTGATTTGCCTGTCATGCACTACATGCACTTTGCAAAACCATTCTGTGTGCTCTGCAGATGTGCAATGATTGAACGTAAATAAGAGAGCATTTAATATATGTATATGTGGTAGCAGTCTACACTGTGGTGCTGGAAGCCACATGGCCAAGTGTGGGTCTGGATCCCCGGTCAACTTGGAATGTACTGAGTGTGCACACAGGCACCCAAGATCCCAAGTCAGAGTTAGGGGAGGGGAATCGCGGCGTGACTAAACCCTGATAAGGGTGTCTTTCTGTCCTCGTACACATACACATGTGCTTGCTGTCATGAATTTTAAAATGCTAAAACTTCCTTTAAAAGATTATGTGCTATGGATTATGCTTGTATCATCTCGTCTGCCGTGAATTCCGTGGTGCTCTGCAAAGAGCAGGGAATCGTGAAATCTAAGCTCTGTAAGGCCTTGGACAAGTCACTTAAAATTTCTGATCTCCATGTCCTTATCTGTAAAACGGGATTCCCAATATCTACCACACCTGCCATTCTTTCATCCCAGTTCGAGGTACAGGGAGCAAGACGGAGCCCTGGCGTGGGCTGACTAAGAAGGTGAGTGTGATTGGAGTGGACCGGAAACACTGAGGAGCAAAGTTCCAGGGTGACAGGAGGAGCGGCAGGGAGGTCCTGGGGTCAGAGAACACTCTCTGAGAAGGTGACTTTCCAGGGTCGACCAAAATAACGTGTCAGCGAGTGAGCCGCTGACAGTAGGAGGAGGAGCAGGACCAGCAGACACAGTCCTGGGACAGGTGTCCGCCTGTCACGCTCAAAGACCAGAAGGGACTATGTGGCTGGGTCCGAGCAGCGGCAGTGAGAGGAAGGACAACACAAAGGCAGACGGCGTGTGGGTGGCTCGCAGGCCAGGGCCGCACCAGCAGAGCCTGCGGGCTGGTATATGGGCCACGCGTGGTCTCATACGTACAACAGGAGACCTCTGTCCTCCAAAGAGCCTCGTTGAAGGGGTCAGGGCGCCTTTTTCTAGACTGTGGCTCAGAAACTAAGAGTCGAAATAAAGAAACGGCAGGAAGAGTAAGTGCCAAGTACTGGGCAGGGCGAGGTTTCTCAGGACTTCCGCTCGCACCTGGAGGAGATCCGCCGTCACAACGAGGGCTGGCCTCTGAGCCAGTCATCCTGGCAAAGTCAGGCACCTGGGGCTTGCTCCGGGCAGCCCAGAGGTGGAGCCTGCGCCTCGCCAGGTCAGGAAGGAGGGGCACATGCTGAGCCCCGGGTCTGCAGGACGTGAGTGGTCTCAGCCAGAAGTGCCCGGAGCTTAGACCAGAACAGCACAGGAGAGACTTCACGAATACGGGAGTTCCGCTCCCAGCTCTCCCGCCACACGGTCAGGGCCAGCCCAGCGCTCCTGATCACGGTGTCCACAGAGAAAACAGCGCGTGCTCCTCCCCGTCAGTCCTGAGCACAGTTCACCCCTTAAATCTTTCTTTGACAACTCAAAGGTCACTCCAGCCTTAGAAAATCACTCTGATCTGCAATCACCGCTTTTGAGTAGCTCATCTACGCCTGTTCCTGGTTTCTGGGCCCTCCACAAAATCACTTTATAAAACAGGTTTTTAAAAATCACATCTTCAGCAACCGCCTGACAACAGCAGCAAACCAAGTATGCTCTACCTGTGCATGTGCATGCGTGCACCGGGCATGCATATGCATTTGTACACACCTGGTGGCACCAAGCACACTTACACGTGTGTGTGTGCCAAGTACTCTTGGTGTGTGTGCACGCACCAGCACGTTCACACGTGCATGTGTGCACCAAGTACTCTAACACACGTGCACCCGTGTCTCTGCAATGTGTGTGTGTGCACAGGCACGTGAATAAACTGGCCTGAGTGCTCTGCAGACCACGAACAGCCACTGGAGGCTGAGGGCGGAGCAGGCGGGAAGCCGGCGCGCCGCCCTACCTATCTTCTTGCCGCGCTCCTCTCCACGGTTGTGGGCAATGATCGGGGAGTAGATGAAGGGGCTCTTGGTCGACACATTCTGCCCCAGCAAGCTCTTCATCTTCTGTGGCCGGAGGCTGGCAGGGAGGTTCAGCAGTTTCACACGCCTGTTATTTGAAATAGAACACAAACACTTGAACTGCCTTGTCAGCTTGGTTCCAGGAGAAACTATCAAACAGCATGTGTTAGGAAAACAGTAAACTGGTCAAAACAGAAGACAAACTGAACAAAGGAAGAGCACCGGGATCCATCAGGACAGCAGAAGGCTGCATGCAACGACTCGGGGCTGTCCGGGAAGGGGAAATGCCTCCCTCGGGTGCCTCGAGGGCTCCGTGAACAGGGCCCATGAGCACGGGGTCCAGCCAGAAGGGCCGGGCTGAAACTGTACCGCATTTCTCACTAGCTCTGTGCTTTGGGCAAGTGTCTTGCCTTCTCTAGAACGCACGTTCATCAACAACATGCAGACAGAGCCTCCAGCTGCCCGGGTAGCCCAGGGAAGGGGCTGAGTCCACTCGACTCCGTGCAGGCTCACAGTCCTCTGGCCAGACCTGAGCCGCCCCAGTCACTACCTTCCAACTGCCTAGACAGACATTTCTGTTGGCTCCAATCTCAGGCAGAGGAGAAGGAGGGGCCTAGAGAGGGTACCTGCAAGCTGTGACAGGTCACCTGAGGACTACGTAAGGTACCGTTCATCCAGTACCTGTGACGGCACCTGACAATGGGCAGGTAGGCACAAACATGCCTTGCTTTTCCTCCTTCAGAAAACATTTATGAACAGAGAGAACGCCGTTCCCTGGTTCAAAAATCACAACTCTGGCTGTGAGCGCAGAAACCGAGCTCAGCTCCTGCTGCAAACAGGCTGCAGACCCCAGACCAGAGCAGTTTCTGTGACCCAGCTCTCTTGGAATACTACGGCTTTCTACTGTGGAATAGCATTCACTCTATACCTGTTACCGCCTGGAGCCCAGAAGTCTCTGCGATTCTAAGGCATCATCTACGTTTCAGATCATAGAAAGGGTCTTAACAGTAACAGAAGAATTCTGAGGACATGCTCAGCCAGAAAAGTGACACCATGAGAGATCACAGCCTTCACTCATAACTCTAAACTCTGCATCGCATGTCATTTCGTAACCATGCAGGGCAGGAAAAGCCACTGTGGAGGGCGCCTGACCTAAAGGAGCCCTAATTCGTTTAGCAGGAATCGCTGCAGAACACCCAGGCCTGGAAGCTGCCAACAGGAAAGCAGGATTCCAGGGATAAAGGGGTCCCTCTACACGGTCGAGCTTAGACGTCGGTATTTGCTCGGCATACCATGGCTAATCGGGGTCATGCAAAGCGACAGTGGCCGACTCGTGGGAAGGTACAGAAAATGAACAGTCAAGGGGTAACAAAAAGCAATACACCTTCTCTTCCTTGGTTTTCAGCTGTCAGGCTTATTTGCAGCAGAAACCTATCTAAGAATCTACTGGCTATGCACGGGCAGACGGGCAGTCAGCAGCGGGCCTCACCAGCCCTGGACTTGGCTTGGTGTCGAGGCCTCGCTGCTTAGCATCCAGGCAGGACAGGAACCCTGGGAGGGCAAAGCCCCCAGCCAGGCTGGGGAGGCAAGACCACCTGCTGCTCCTCCTGAATGCCATGGCGCCTTTAGTATCTCCTAACATTAAGAATTCTTTTCTTTTTAAGGTTTTTGCCATAGGGCAAGTGTTCTCTGGAGAGAGACAGAGAGAGAAAGCAAGCACTCATGCCCCGGGGGCATGGCCACACAATCCCTTCTCCTCCAGTATCCTTGTGGGATTTGGGGCATGCATGCACACACGCCTGGTGTGATTTTTCAAGCCACTGGGTCTGGGATTCAAACCACAGTTGGACATGGGAAGTCTGACCAGGAACTGTGTTCTCTCTCTTCGTAAATGTCTTAAAGAGACACCTCACCTGCTCTGGGAGGTGCTTGATGAATGTCACCTTTGCACCTCTCAAGTGACCCATCACAGCCTTATCCACCACACCACCTGCTGGCCCCAAGCTTAAAAAATCTCTTTTTTGTTTTTAGAGAGAGATTTTTGCTATAGGGCACATGTGCTCACAAGAGAGACAGAAAATGAGAAATCACCACCCGGTAGGATGGTCATGCTGCAATCTCTTCTCCTCTAATCTCCTCTTGGAATTTTGGGCATGCATGTACATGTGCCCGACCTAAATTTTTAAACCACCAGGTCTGGGACTCAAACCGCAGTTGACTGCATGGGAGTCCATGCAACGTAATCATTATGCAATCTGCTGGTCCCATCGAGTTTAAGAACTCTTTTTTTTTTTGGAGAGATTTTCGCTATAGGGCACGTGCGCTCACCAGACAGACAGAGAGAGACATAGAGACAGAAAGTGAGAAATCATCCCCCAGGGGGGATGGCCATGCCGCAATCCCTTCTCCTTCATTCTCCCCTCGGGATCTTGGGCACGCACGCACACGCACCCGGCATGAGTTCTAAGCCACCGGGTCCAGGACGCGAACCACGGTCAACTACGTGGGAGTCCAGCAACATAGCCATTATGCTAACTGCTGGTTCCTGAGCTTAAGAACTCTTAAGGGAGGTTATAAATTGGTGATTATACCACATCTGAAAGGCAGTTCTGGACACTGGTGAGAAGCTGATGAGATCGCAGAGGTTGCACCCTTACTGATAACCAGGAGACTGAAAAATTACCCTACACATTGGCCCGCTAATCGCCTTTCTGACTAAATGCCTCAAAAGTTTCCTCAAAAGGTATAATCAAAAGTTTAAGTTTTAAAAGCACCAAAGCAACTCAAAGCCCATGCTGACTGGAACGATTCCACCCTTTATCGATTTAAATACCTCCGAGAACTGAGAGCTCTTTTCCAGGTTGAAGGTGCTCAGAGTTAGTTCATCGGAAAACAATCAGCGGATCCCCCTCACCTGCACCATCCCAAAATTAAAGCCGCATTTGTTAACTGTAAATGACACCTGAACTCTATTCTAATTTCTACTTTAATAATTCACAACTTAAATGTGTTAATAATCTACATAATTACCTGGGGCCTGATGGTCTACAACTGACTATTACATGACATTTTATCACTTTAGCGGTGAATCCTGCAAGCAATAAAACCTGATGGCTGCAGGCGTAAGTGGGCTGTTCTTTGCTTGAACGCCACACAAGGGCACGTGGGTATGGGCGTGGCCATCCCTGGCATGTGAGACCATGGCTTTGACCACTGTGGAATCTAGTGTTTAGCATTGGGCCAGGGGCATCTTAGGCACTCAATAAATATGGGGTTAATTGAATCCTGGAATGAAATTAAAATACAGATGTATTTGGGCTCCTTTTATTAATTAACTTGCATCACAATTATCTGAAAGCTTTTTTCCAGCCCAGATCATACTGCCATGCTTCAGAGAACAGGATAAGCATTTTCCTGTAAACTGCTAAAGTAGTTTCATGGTCAAAAATTAAGAAAGGCCTCAACAAAAAGAAAAATAGCTCTGCTTGCCCATCCTAAAAGCAAATCCATAATTAAGAGACATCTCCAGGGGCCATCGGCTTCCAGCCATTTTTTTTCCGCTTCCAGCCACAATTCTGTATGGCAGGCTTGATCACCTACTCTGCAAGGCAGACTTTTCTACCACCTCCACCTACAACCCTGGGGAGGGCTCCAGTCTTCAGAGCCCGCATCACCGAGCTCCAGGTCTACAGGCGTGACTCCCAAGGCCTGGCTTAGACTTCCTTCCGCTGGGGAAGCCCACACTCGGGCACAGGACTGAGGCATGTGGTTACCTAACTGAGCCAGTCCTAGGCTCCTGCTGTAAGGACAACCTCTGCCCATGCAGAGCTGCTGGGCCAGCCGCCCTTCGGGAAGGAATATGGAGCAAAGATCTAGGGGAAGGGGCCAAGCCTTCATGCAGTGTGGGCATTTACCCAGTACACACACACCTGCTGGAGGTCTGATGCCCAGCAGGGTGGGGGGACACCATGATCTCTGCCCTTCGGCTGCACTGCTGGACACCTGCTGGAGGAGTCCAACCCGGTGGGGCTCCAGGACCCGTCTGAGCCCCTTGACCTTTGAGCATCACTTCCGGTCGGTTCAGTGAGTTGGCAAGGCCGCGACTGTATGCCCCCGGACCTTGGAACAAGCTTGGGTCACTTAGCATGTTGGCAAGGCCGCCTGCTATT